TCTTGCCCTAAATTAACTTACACTCCCATTCCAGGAGCCTTGCTGCTGTTTGGAGACAGAATCCCAGACTGAACACACATTTGTTTGCAGTCCCAGGGCTGGGCCTCCCAAAAACTGCTGTCAGCTACTGCACTGTTCCTTCAGAGAAGTGAGAAGAATTAGCAAGTTAGAGTAGTGATAAGTAATTCTTTTCTCTGAGGGGGAAATGCATTTCTTTATTAATAAATAGAAGTAAAACTTCAGTCAGAGATAACCTGTCACAACAGAAAGAAGTGAAAAAGGTTTATTTTCTCAAGGAATAGCTAAGGTTGAGCAGGCACTATGTCAGAAAGATTTTAGGCATCGGCAAGGTACAACCAGCAATTTTTCTGCTGTGTTTCCCCCTCCCCTCTCAGCAGTGATTCTGAAGCACATAACCAAATTCTTAGTCAATGTAATGTCAAATAGCACAAAAAACCCCACTCCCTCACAATCACATCTTCCTTTGATATCCCTGTGACAGCATTCCCACTCCTCGTGTTTACAGCCTGTTACTTCCTGATGGTTGTCCTCTCCTTGCTTTGGATCTCAGAAAAGTGAAATGTTGATATTGAAAGAGAAATTCATCTGTGTGATGAGTAGTTATCTGGCATAGAAGCTGTCAAACCATGGAAGTGTCTTACAACTGCCATAGAATAATGAAAATATTCTTTAAAACTGTGACAACTGCAAAGTGAGACAGAAAACGAAGCTGCCTACACCTGGAGACTGCTCTCCCCTGTGTGAGCACATCAGCCTCTGCTCTGGACTGCACAGCAGGTTTCATGGAATCACAGAATCCTCTGAGTTGGAAGGGACCCACGAGGATCATCGAGTCCAACTCTTCCATGACTGGCCTGGACAGGGATTAAACCCACAGCCTTGGTGTTATTATCACCGTGCTGTAACCAAGGGACAGACAGACCATTCTGCTTCCCGTTTCCCCTCTGCCAAAACAAGGCATTGTTGCAGTCCTGTTTTGGAGGAGATGGGAGATCTGCCAGGATCCCAAGGGCAAGCAGCTCCTTGCAAAGGATCAGCCTTGGTGTGGGGCAGGATGGCTGATGGAGCCTCACCATGGTCAGGGGCACCCATAGACAAGCAAAGGCAGCTCAGGCTGGAGGAAGTCTCAGCTCACTTGAGGAGAAGCTGAGGAAAACCCCTGGCCAGTGCAGAGCACAACTCCAGCCTTTCAGAGAATGCAGTCTACATAATGAATGTGGTTTTTCAGGAGCCAAAATAAAGATGGACATGAAGCTTCAAACTCTGCAGAGTCCATAGTACCTGAACCTGCACCCTGACTGTCACACAGCAAAGCACTTGCTTTACACAGAGGATCACAAAGATTCTGTTTGCCACAGTTCCTGAAAAGCTGCTCATTTCAGTGAATCAGACTTTGTCTCATTGAAAACATTTCTTGACTCTATGAAAAGCTAAAGATTTATATGCTTTAGACACTTAGGCAGAGATTTCCACAGGTCACCAGGGAACTGGGATGTTGAGCTCTTGCCAGAAGTCTGAACATTGAAGAGTGAGTACAGGCAAGCAAATATTCGAGGTATTTAACCTCCTCCAAAGGTACCAAGGCTAAGCACCCAGGTGACTAACCACCTGCAGAAACACAAGCTCCAGATTTTGGGAGGTCATTTCTGTCAGCATGGAGCAGCCATTAGGAGATGTGGGAGATCCAACACCTTTGCCTCAGCCTTCAGTGCTCCTGAGGCCTGCAGGGCAGAGCATCAGTGGCTTCAGGGCTGTTAATCACTGCTGTGGTTGTATATGAAGTCCAAGTGCAAAGGTGGGGCAGGGGGGACATTTAGCAGGGCTGCTTTGAGGGCAGAGAAATATGAGATTACAGTTAAGAGTGGAAGATTGGTATTATCAAATCAATACCCTACAATAAATATAATGTGTTGATCCAATTAGCTGAGTGGAGCAAGATGAATCTGGGGGCTATTGGTGAAACAGGAAAATTGCAAGAGGCTAAAATTAAATGCACCCAAAAGAGAGGGGCAATGGAAATAATACTCTAAAACAATGAGCTTGGGTGACTCTGTGCAGTTTGAAAATTCAAGCTGAGTACAGAGGTCATCATGGAATTTTTGGAGCTTTTATTCCAGAGGCTGAATAGAGACAAGTTCTTCCACAAGTGAAAACACAACAATGCCAAAATTCTGCAGATGAAGCTTGTTAAACTGTTTGCTAAATACCTTTGCACTGTAACACATTGAAAAGAAAGAGAAGTATCACTGTAATGATGTAGCTGCTTGCAGAGCTCGTTAACTCGTCCCACAGCCCCCTGTCCTCAGTGAACTCAGCAGCCAGATTTAGCAGGAGCTGGGGAAATAACGGGGAGGAGGCAGGAGCTATGGAAATATCAGGGAGGAGGCAGCAGTCAGGCTAAGAAAAGAACTGGCAGCCGAGGAAGGACAGGTATTTCAGACAGTTGCCAACACTTAAAGAACTCAGCTCTCAGTCTGTGGGTGTGTTTGCTCAGAATCTCGACTCAGTGGCCATTCCACACAACAGCAAAGCAATAATTCCAACTAAGCACACCAGGAAAACTTCTCTCCCTGAATGTTTAGGGAGCAGCTAATGAAGACTGACTTATGCATGCATTTATTAAAATTCTCTCAGCACCGAGCAGTGCAGCTTTTAAGTTTCATGTGCAGCTTGAAAGCCAGGCAGAAGCCAAACCCTTTGGAAGAGCAGCATCTCTTCAGAGGATTAGGAATTAAGTAAACTGCACATTAGAGATAAAATAGGGGAGTGCTTGTCTTTATTCTTAATAATAAACCACAAGGCATTGAGCTACACAGCATGATTAGCTCCTTTCAACTCCTCACTACTACTGCTGAGACAGCAATGTGGCAGTTTCACCGAAACATTAAAGAATACGGAGCGATTAAGTTAAAATTAAGTGAATTTAGGGCAGGCAGAAATGCTACATTGCAACCCAGAAGGGATAAGTCTTTTGTTTGGGTAAAGAGCAGCTTAAGCTCTAGTAGTGTTAGAATGGATTCCTGGAAAACAGGAGTTATTCATGGTTTGAAGCGACCAGCTCTGGGGCTGGACATGTTACTCTGCATCTCTCCTCTCCTTCCTGAGTCACCTGGGTACTTGGTCTCTAAAACATCAGCCCTGCAGTGGTGCCTGCCAGGCTGGGGAAAAGGATGTAATAGGGGAATCACAGCTGAGGGCTCATCCCCTCCTCCTTCAGCAGCTCCATACAGTCCTGAACTTCATGCTTCTGTGACTGGATTCCTCATTTATAAACTGCTCTTACAAACATGACAAAAATACAAAACAACCCCAGACAACCGAAGAACAGTTAAGTCTGTGAGATACAGAGATACTAAACAACCAGGGGCCATTTGGACCATTAAACAATCAGCTCAACACATATAAGACATCAGCAAAACCCATGACTGACCAGACTCCTGGGAATGAAAACATTCTCCACAAGATGGACAGAGGTCTGTCTTCACTGTGGACCTGCAAGTATTCAACTCCTCTCTATGGTTTAGTGAGATACTAAATTTATCCTGCTGTACCCTGACCTTGTTTAGGATGACTGGAATAAGAGAAGGAATAGATCAAACCTCCCAGCCCTGCTCCCTCCAAACTTCAGCTGTAGCCTATGAACTCGCACACTTTGTCCCTTACTGTCACCTTCCACCTGTGGGAGAAGCTCACCTGAAAGCTGTTGGTTTGAGTATCTACCAAATCCTACCCTAAAGTGCTTCTTCACTGCCTGAAAAAACTGGGCAATACATAAACCACTAAAAACACTTTGGCACCAAAGCCCATCCCATTAAGGCAAAGCTGTTTCCTTGTCTTTGCACAGTCTTGGTTGGGCCATTCCTGGTTAGGGAGCCACCTTTTCCTGCCTTACAGAGCCTGGCACAGGTGACTCGGACCCAAAACTAAGCAAATCTAAACAAGCAAACACATGCCTTAGCCCAGTGAGCAGCTGGAGCTCTGTGGGGGCCTTTAGGCACTGCCCAAACCAGGGCTGAGTGCCACGAGCACACATTGTGTGCCAGGATGGGCCCTGAGGTGGCTGCCACCAAAGCACATGAGGCAGAATTAGAGCTGCTGAAAGTCTTCCAGGAAAACACTGGAAAAAGGCAATGGATCAAAATGAAAATGCCTCCTGCAATGGACTCTCTTCCAACAACAGGGGCCAGTTCCCCACAGACTCTTAGGCTGCAGGGATTTCACAACATCTCAGGCAGAGTAGACACATAAATCACCTGAAAGGGCTTTTGGTTTAACTCTACAGCACCAGCAGTGTTTGGAAACTTGTGTCTACCAAAGTTGGCAGAGGCTTCCAGATTTGTGGATTCTGCTCCCCTCAGGGAAAATATGAGAAGGGAGCCTTTGGTCAGACTTCAAAGGAAAATATCTTCAGTCTTTGGGTTCCTCTGGACTGATACGTGTCAGCATTTTGGGAACCTGAAAGTCTGATTACTGCAAAGACCCAGTTATTGGCTTGGCTTGCTCTGGAATATGCCCTGGGATTCACAGAGAGCCTGAACTCTGCTTCCTGAAGCTGGCATGGTCCCAGGTCCCTGTCTGCCCTGTGGCAAACCACCCCAGGCTGTGGCTGTGCTGGGGCATTAGAAACCATTACTTCATCCTGGGTAAACATTTTAAAACAACACTTCCTGTTTTGTCTTTTAAAGTTATCAGGACAGTTTCATTCTCCACCCAGAAGAATGACTTCTCTTGTTTACTGTTTTCATAGATCTACAGGATGGAGATATAATACAATGGATAATATACACAGAGAAGTTTGGAATATTAGGCTCATTTTGATCCTGGGTAAACTATGTAAACCTGAGAGTCTCTTACTGAGCTGCAGAGGCCACAAGAGCTCCACAGCCCCAACCTGGTGGCTGTTTATCTTTACTAAACCAACCAAAATAGGTGATTTTGCCCCAACTCTTGCAGTAACATCTCTAATAAATGTTTTCATACCTGTGAGAAATTCAGGAACTCCTGGGATTCCTCTGATGCTCAGCAGTGAGAGAGTTTATTACCTTCAGCAGGTCTTCAGTTACCTACAGGAAGAAAAGATTCACAAGCATCATCAGCCTTTCAACACTTGCTGATTCAGAAATGCACAAAAAAAACCTTTTTATTTTGCAACTGAGTTTCCATTAATTTCCATTTAGACCTCCTGTTTATCTCCCAGTTAGACCATCCTCTGTCCCTTGCTCCAAAGCAGAAATATCCCCACACAAGATTCTCCCCCAGGCTAATGTTCAGGCACTGGTTTTATACCCACCAGATATTTCAGAGGTGCTAACTCTGTATTTGCCTTCCAGATAATCCATCTGAACATCCTGAAGTCAACCACCTGCTAAAAAACCACAAGATAATAGCAAGCCAATCTTCCTTTATAGAGCCAAAACTCTAATCTGGTATTCTAGACAAAAGAAAATCCTACTATTTTACACTTAATCATCACATTTTGTCTTTTGTCCCCCACAATATATATATTTGTGAGGGTCTTTTGCTGTCTTGATGAGTTAAGTGAGAGATTTCACTGATGGGATGCAATTTCACTGATGGGATGCATTTAAAAAGAAAATCAAAAGCAAGAATCACCAACAGGTGTGGTGTTGCAGAACTGTCTTCTTATTTTTCAGCTGGATTCCCAGGTTCAGCAAAGTGCTGTGTTCACACATCAACATGCAGCAGGTATTTTGGAAGTCAAATCCAAGGACATTCATGGTTTAGCCTTTTGGTGACAGGCAAATTCAGTCCTGCACATTTGGGGAGAAACTTGTCAAAGGTACAGGCACAAAAACAAGGTCCAGTTTGATCCCACAGTAGTCTAGATTCCAGAATTTCATAGAAATTCATGTAGATTATCAATTAGTCAGAGATCCACCCACTCTATGCTAGATTTGCTGCAAATAGACTGTTCCCTGTTTTATCAAGCAGTCATGGTGCCACTCAGAGCCATTCAGCCAAAGCTGTGGAGACAGGGAACAGGTTCATGGAGTTCAGAATTAGCAGTGATATAAAGCTATTGCAGTCATTACAGAACAATTCTTAAAATCCAATGCCCACATCGATTGTAGTCTGTCCAAATTCAAGCCAACCCAAAGATAAAACTAAATAATCTGCCAGAATAGACTTACTGCATTGCTAATGGGTATTAGAAAATGTAACTGCAGGAACAAAAAAGGAATAAAACAAGAAGACCACGATGAAACCTCTCTTATAGAATTCCTAATAACAAATATAAAAGTTCTTTACAAGAGACAAGGCAGGAGGGAAGGGCAGGGAGAAAAGCATCACTTATCATAGTGAAAAAACAAAGGCACAGATTCTTAATATTCATCTTAAGACTCCCCAGCAGGCTGGAACAGAAATCAAACCTGAAGCCTCAGTCCTTTGCTTTGAAATACAATTGTAAAACGTGCAGTCGTCTGAAGAAACATGCTACAGAACAACACACACTTAATTTACCCCCACAAAACTGGAGTGAGAGCAAATTTTATGTCTAATTCCACACAGTCTGGCTTCATCCTCACATTACCAGAGCTCAGGAGTCCCCCTGTCACACTAAACATATACGATGCTGGTGTGAGCACAATTTCCCCTTCAAAATCCTCGAGATCCTCGTTCTCACACCCCAAGTGGAGGACACAGCCCATCCTGTGTCCAGCTGTCTGCTCCCACCGTCCTGCTGTCCACCCACCCCAGCCAGGCTGTGCCAGGACGGTGTCCAGGGAAAACAACTTCTCCCACCCAAACTTGTCTAATGAAACTCAACTTTGGCAAAGAAAAGAAACTACTAAAGGGTTTCTCTTGCTCCCCAGCATCCTGCCTTCTTTTCAAGTTCAAAGTGAGAAATTACACAGGCTGCTGGGGAAGAGGCAATAAGGTGAATATGGGTGGCAAAAATCTGAAAAGAGAGGAGTTGTTGGGCGTTTCTTTCCCCTCTCTAAACAGGCTTTTATTTCCCTTTAATTCTTACTTTTAACCGGGTTTATGTGGAGCTGCAGGTCACCACAGTGACCTTCCCTGGCATTTCTGCTGCTGCTGCCAGTCTGTCCTCCCGAAGGCTGAGGGCACCAGGGACCACGTTCCGAGGAGCTGGCGGAGAAAGCAAAGCGTTTGCTGCCTGTTTTTATGACAAGTAAATGAACACATGCGAACCCCAGTCTGTCGCACCTGCTCCTTTTCCCACTTCATTTTTCCATCACCTCAGGCGACACATGAACTTACAGACAGTATGGGTTTTTTTCCCTCAGCCTTTACTTCTAACTTGCTGCGTTCCTCAAGATGTTTCTCAAGATGCCTTTATCAAAATAACTCCCGACCAGACTCTTCCCCCAGCCCCTCACAGCTCTAAAATAAGAAGCGGGAGCTGCTGAGATCTGTGCAGAGCTCGAGGCGCGGCCGCCCGAGGGGCGCCGGCTGCCGCCTCTCTGCAGCCCGGCACAAGAGCTGCGGGCAGGGAGGGTCCATTGGGGGTTTAAAAACCCAAACAGCCCCCAAAAGTCGTATTTTTGGCTTTGTGAGAGCCGCTCGAGCCGCAGCCCGCCATCTCCCTCTAGCGCCCGAGCGCGCCGGCCCCGCCGCCATCTTGGCCGGGCTTTCCCTCTCCCACACTGCCCTCTGCAGCTCCATCCCGGGCCGTGCCTCCCGCTGAGGAGAGAAAACATAAAAAACCCATGATAAATATAATATAAAAAGTCCTTCCTTATCTTAGAGAGGGGGTCCTTCCAGTAAGGATGATCAGAGAAGACCCACGGCGTTCCCCGAGACGCCAACACCTCGCAGGCCCGGCCGCCTCAGCGCCAGCGCAGGGTCTCATGCATCTTGATAAGAATCTCTCGGTTTTTTGCACTAAAACCAACAAATTGAGGCGTCATCAGATTGCACTAAAGATGCTCAATCAGTTTGCACAAACAGGTCGCCATCAGCCGTGTTTCTACCCCTTTCTGGTGCAGGACAGGTGCCCTGGAGAGCTGGGCTGGCCGGCACAGGCGCAGACACACCTGCCCGCCCCGGCTGCATTTTGCTAAAATAGATTCTTCAAAGCAATAGATTAGTACATTGCTGTAGCATTCAGTGATGTATTTACTGCTGCAAAGCTCCAGATGCTCTGTAAGCCACAATAATACAGTTAAGTGGAAAATGAGTCATTTAAACCCATAATGACTGTCATAGCATGACTCCGCTGACAACAAGCCCCGGCGGTAACGCTGCGAGGTGGATGAGACCTCATCCAGATTGTCAGGGCTGTGGGGCACGTCAAGCTCTGCCTTCAGGGCAGGGCCTGCAGCCCCCCAGCCCTGGTGCTGCCAGGGGAGCACCCCTGATGTTGGGGTGGGGATGGCTGGGGTGCTGAGGTGCCCCTGTGAGCCCCCATCTCCTCAGCACCGCGCTCCACCTCACTGCCGGCATCATGGAAACGCTGTTGTGGCTCCCAGGTGAGAAGAGCTGCGCACCCGGATTTCAGCTGTGAGGATGCAGAGCTCAGTTCTCCTCACCAGCATTCCCAGGTGCCCTGGGAGCAGGTGGCAAGCGGCTGCCACCCTTCCCAAAGGCTCCTGGTCAGACACCCCAGGCTGTGCCCATGGGGACGGATGCGTTTCCAGGTGCTTGCCATGGTTAGTCTGGGGACAGGCAATATGAGGAGGGACATGAAGGCTCCTCCAGCCCCGCTGTGGTCCTCAGCCGGGCTAGACAGCAGTGGGGCCATGTGGGGCCATGCCTTGCTGCTCCTCAGGCAGCCCCTTGGGTGAGTCAGGAGAGCGAGCGCAGCATCAGGGAAATCACAGGATCCCAGAATATGCCGAGCTAGGAAGGGACCCACATTGAGTCCAATCCTTAGCCCTGCACAGGCCCCTCTGTGCCCCAGAGGATCATCCAAACAGTCCTTGAGCTCTGGCAGCCTTGGTGCTGTGCCCACTGCCCTGGGGAGCCCATTCCATGTTGGCTCTCCGCAAAGGCCAATAGGGTAGAAAAGGTAAAAAGCAGGGCCAAGCTTTCTGCTGGTATTAAGCAGACAGCTCTGGTGATGGTAAATAAACCATTTTAATTTGTCTTCTTAGGAAATTTGGCATCAGTTTTTTCCCCCATCTCCAAAGGAAGAAATTTTCTTGCTTAGACCTTGGCAATTGTTTCAAAAACCAGGTAATGGAAAAATCAGATGGATGTGCTCACTAAAGGCAGAGACTTTAAGGAGCTCGTAGAACGGAATCATAGTATATCCTGAGGGAAGGGACCCACAAGGATCACTGAGTCCAACACACACTAACTCACACTGTACATACAATTTGCTATAGAGAAGCATCTTTTATTCCCTTAACACAAGCAATGTGCTTTGTTGCTGGACTGTAGCACTGTGCAATTTAAGCCTAACTCTCCAAAATACAATTGCCTTTATCGAGCTGAATGCTCTGGGTATGGACCACTTCCAGTGCCTTGTATTAAATGTGATAAAGCAAGGTCACTCCTTAATCAACCTGACCAGTGCCTGTCACAGCACCGCTGGGATTACTCTCATTTATGCGGGGGACCAGGAGAGCTCCTCACAGATCAGACTCTCATAAAAATAATTTACTGCTACATTCACCTTGCCCAAAACAGCAGAGCCATCCCGTCACCCTGCACACATTTCAGGCTCTCTTGAACTACCCTCTTGTGGTACGGCTGCAGAACGACATCTTCTTCTAACAGCTTAAAATACATCCAGTTCTGCTTCACTTTCTAGGATTAACTGAGACAAAGCTTTCCTTTTGGAGTGCAATAACACCCTTTTTTTTTTATCAACGAACTCCAAATGCATCATGTTTCCACCAAATACACCGAGCTCCCCAAAATAGGGACAACTGAAAATCCCAGGAAGTTTATAGTTCCATTTTTAGTTGTCTGTGAAAGAAAAGAAAACAAATTTCCAAGCTTTTAATGCAATTCCTGCTGCATAAAGCACCCCCCTGCCCCCTCAACAGTGATTCAACAGAAACTAGTTAAGGGCTTTGAAGATGCGAAGCAAAAGATACATTTCATAATCATATTGTATATTTGATAGGTAAAGGCTCTATGTAATGAGCTGATTAAGTTCTTGCTTAATTATTTTCTTGTATTGAAACAAAGATAATTGTACCAGGGGTGGGTGGTTCAGTTCCTAGGGCTAAATGCAAGCTTTTTGAGCAGAGAAACATATAAATTCAACCAAGAAAAATGCTGCACTCGAAGTGAGTTTCAATGTTGAGCAATAATGATGATTAAACAAGCCACATTATGTGCTAAAATACAGCATGTCTGCCCTCAGTAATCAGAATGACCACAGGCCTTATCAGCTTGGGTCAATACTCGAGGTACTTGAATTATCAATAAACAAGTAAACCCATTCTTTCCTGGATAAGTTTAACAAAGCTAGGGTGCCAGAAGTTGTTAACATGGGTGAGGGTTGAAAGTGCTTTCTAAAAAAAGAAATTCCTCATCTCCTACCACCACTGACTCTGCAATTTACCTGATCCAGGCTCTTTTTTTGGTTCTCAAGTGGCCCGGACAGTAACCTTGTTGCCCTGGGTGACTCCTGGGCTGACTCAGGCACCTGGTATTCCACTGGTGACTCTGAGTTTTGTGTTCCCAGCAGCACTTTTCCCATGTATAAAACAGGGATTACCAGCCCAATAGAAGAAACACCAAATGGCAGCACAAAGGACGTGGGAGACTGTAGGGTGGTACTGTGATTTCATCCCCTGCTCCTGGCTGGATTGAGCTTCATCCCTGATATTGTGCCTGACAGCATGTGAGCACTTTGACAGCTATCAATACCTGTGTTTCCATATGCAGGCAGTGAAGGAATGAGAAGGGGGATATTCTTTATCACCAGGAAATACCTTTTGCTAACATGATTTCAGTTGCAAGATGCCTGTGGAAAAGGAAAGGTGTGTGTCCCCAGCACATTGCCAGCTGGGAACTTCCACCTTGCCCACGGCCACAAGCAGTCCCAGCCCCTCCAGCTGGAGCAGGACACTGGGAGAACAGTGTGCCCTCACCTGTGGCTCTGGTTCTCCTCAGCTGGCACAAATCTGGACTCTTTTGTAGAGGTTACCATGGCTAATTCACTGAGGCCTTCAGTTTTAATACTACTGAGGGAGTTTTTTGTATTACAGCAGCACTGGGCAATGCTCACTTGCCCCAGCCAGGGCAGCAAGCACAGTGCAATCACAGTGAGAGACAGACTGTCCCCCAAAGAGCTTCACTTAAAGAATGGCCAGGATTGGTACTTACAGTGGGAACAAGGAAGCTCTGACAGACTGTAAACCAGCAGGGGAGGAGGAAGCCCCACCACTCCTTTGCACGCACTTCTCTCAACCAGCAAAGTTAGAGGTTTGTCTTCATCCAGAGTAAAGGCAGAGTCACCTTCAAAAGGCAATTCAGCCCATTTCAGCTGGGATCCTGCTCCAAATCACCTTCTGAAGGTAAGTACAGGTATGCTCAAAGCTGGCAGATGGAGTCCAAAGAAAGAAATTGGTTTATCCAGGTGGGACTTAACCGAGTCACTGTGGGAGTAACAAAACCCCTGTGATCTGAGCCCTCGGCCACCGTTTGAACCACAGCTCACTCTTCTTCCTTGCCAGAACCAGAGCAGCAAGCCAAGGAGCTCCTCTGGAAAACAACATGACCACTGGTATGTTACCTTATTCCAGGGGGCTTTCAGCAGGGTCACCTGCACGTGTGAAGCAGCAGTTAAGAGTTCAAAGCAGCAAGAATTGTGCTAAAGAATTACTTAACAAGGCACAGCCACAGCAAATGAAAATTTACTTTCAGTAAAGTCCTCCCCTATCTTCCAGTCCAGCAAGGACTACAGTTTTCATGAGCTCATACAGGCAAAGGTAAAAAGGAACAAAAATATAAGATGTCTGTGACATCTTGCTGCCTGTGATAGATTTAGCTGTCATAGGCCATGAGAGAGAAAAGGACTGCAAAGATTGCAGCAGTAAGGTCTGCATAGATGAAAACCAGGCTAGAGCAAGGTATTAGTAAGGAAAAACAAAGACAATATAGAAAGTTAAAAAAGAAGGGTCAAAGTATGGCAGAAAATGAACATTGTACTGGGAAACAAATGTTAGGAGTGCTTTCAAAGATTCCTCTCCTGTACACTATGGTTGGCATCTCAGCTGGTGATAGGAAGATGCTAAGTTAAGTGGAAAAATAGTTGGAGTGTGGGAAGGTGGGACTTTAAAGCCTAAAGCAAAGTCCTGGGTGCTGTAAGCACAGTAGCTGAGGGCTTTCTAGGATCTAAATCTCACACAACCTACAGAATTAATACCCTTACCACTCATTTCATTCCCACAGATAGTACTTGGTGTGGTCTTTAAATGAACTTCATTTCTTAAAAACTAGTGAATTCAAAAATAGAAGATTTAAGACAAATGTCCTGAAGAGAAAACCCTGCAAAAAAGATCAAATTGTCTATACCTGCAAGTTAACATCCCTGTATCAAACTTCTGAAAAACAAGGAAGGCACCTGAAAAAGTTTAAAAGCGTTAAAAAATCTGTTTTCATCTCTTTCTATACCTCTCAGGCATATTCCTCTGAGCATCACCAGCAGCAGAAGACTTGACACACGGATCTTAAATTTGATTGAAATCAAAGGGAGTGAAAGCCTCAGTGCTTCCTGGGACTCTGGGAGTGAGGGCTCATTGGCTTAATTGGGAATTAAGGACCAGCAGCAAGAGTTTGCTCAGCACCTGGGAGGGCAAAGATCATAGTCTGGACAATGAAGAGCACGTTTCTTCCCCCTGAAGACACGGGCAGAGCTGTCAGGGCTCTTCTGAGCCTGGAAGACGATGCTTTCATCAGAACCTCTCTCGTGGGGACCCTCACACTTGCTCCAGCAGTTCCATCCTTCTGTGGCCACCTAGAACTGGTTTCAGTCAGAAACCCAGAAGGCTTTTAATGATGTGATTCCAGAAGACTGAGATTATGGCCTAATTAAAATCTAATCCAAGTAGGGTAGTACTATATTTTAAAGAAGCCAAGGATGTGGTCTCCTTTTTGTTCCTTTTTCTCCGATTACTCTAATAATTTTAATAAGAAGGCTTAGAAAAGCTTGCCGTTTCCTTTCCATTTTTAACAGCTATTCCTTCTGAACAAAACCCCACTGTTGGGAAAAAGGATTTCTTCCCCATGGCAACGCTGGGGTACTCCACACAAAGAAGCACCTAGCAGTTTAGTTCACATTTTTTAATAACATGGCACAATTTACATTACACAAGTCTTCGCTGATGAGGAAACATGCTGAAGATTGAGAGCCGCTTCACTTTGCTTTTCACATAGGATCTAGAAAGGACTTTATTACATACAGGATAAACAGCAAAAAGGTTTGTATATAACAATCTCTTTACAATACTGAAAGCTACCACTACGGTTCCAGTGTACATATTCCTCAGGGTTGGGATTTTTTTTGGATTTTTCCTTTTGTTCTTAAAAAAAAAAAGAAAAAAAAGAAAAAAAAAAGAGAAAAAAAAAAAAGAAAAGAAACCACCGCACAACATCTGGAGTTCACAAAATCTGAAGCTCACAACTAAACCTTCAGTTGACTACTAAAATAGATCTCTGATCATTAGAAACAACTGTCTGTAGTTAACTTTTTTCTTTTTTTTTTCTTTTTTTTTTGCCAAAACAGGGTAACAACTTCAGATAGCACTTTAATACACTAGAAGACCAATGGAACTAATTTTATTTCATACATATATTTTACAGTCCAGTAGACAAGATATTGAATTCTCTCTGATAAAGTCATATTCTCTCCAAATATTTAGACAAGAAACTTAATGCATTATAAAAAAGTGTGCTATGAAAAGACAAGATTTCAGAAGATTGATGCATATTTGTAAAAAGGACCATGTTCTTCATGTTATTTCATGGCTTCTGTGATTAGGGAACAACAAGGCTGGCCTATTAACTCTTCACAGACTTTATTACCAACTGAAATACAATAAATTGCATTATGAAATCTGCAATGGAGTTCATTAATTAAACACTGATCCACAGTGAAAACATATCCATCATTTAGAAAAGTATTCTTGTAGGATTTGTTTCAAGGTAGCTAAAAATCCCATAACACAAAAAAAAGAAAAAGCGTGTGTACAGATAAAAATGACAGACTGGCAATAAAACCAGACATGAATGGCTATAAGCAGATGCTCTTCCAGAAAGAAATCTGACATGTTCAGTGACAAAAGTTCTGGAAAAGATCCAGCATTTGATTATTCCTGTTTAACCCAGATGAATGTGACTGAAAACCAACTGGCCATGACTCCAGTACCGGTGCTTACAGAGCACTGACCCTGACGCCGTGGAAGCGACACACGAGCTCCAGTGACCTCAGCAGCCTCATGCAGGGCTTCAGACAGAAAACTGCACCTCTAGTGGGCTGTTTCTTCATCAAAACAAGCAAGAGAAATAGGCTCCTATTAGAAATGAGCTTGTTCAGGGAAAATATGACTTTAATTATGTTGTGTGTTGAAAAGGCTCCTTTGAGTTATAAAGGCTTTTGTGAAAAGCCTTAAATTCATTGCATAGTTGAAGGGGTTTAGCTGTCTATAACAATATATGTAACACAGCATAAGCAGACTGTGTTGATCAATATTAAGTTTGCAAATAGCACAGTTTAAGAAGTATTAATGTATTATGTTACTTAATTTTATCTATTTACATTTGTACAAAGTAAAGCTTTCATCTTACCCTTTTTGCATATATGAACCATTAACCCATGAAGCAATCTTTTTACATAAATATCTACAATTGACTTCATTTCTGGTCTGAAAGAGCTTTGTAGGGTTGACATTGGTGGTGGCTTGTTTCTAGTCAAATCACTCAGATTGATGTCTTGTTCTTCAGTTCAAATATTGAAATTCTTAAACTAGAAATAAAATAGAGTAGGAGACACGAGAAACGTATGGACTTGGCTAAAAGATCTGGAAAATTTCAACATATAATATACAAAAAAAACCATTTCAAAATCTTTGCACTCGGGTCTATACATATTGTACAGTGGGTCACATCCCCAGTCTGTAGCAATGACTAGTAAGAAGGTCTTTATATTATGTTCATGTACAACGTTTTTGTCCTTCTTTCTGTGTTTTTTATTCAGTCTCACTCTGCTTATCGAGCTTCAATGTCCTTGAGGGTGTGAGAGGGGGGCCTCTCCCTCATCTCCGTGGACAGAGGAGTAGTCCTTCTGGGAGACCCGGGCCGAGGTCCCAGCGTGGAAATAAGAGGCGGGGGGGCACTGAGAGCTGCTGTGGGGGGAGTTTTGTTGAGGATGCCGTTCTGGTGTGCCGTGGGGGGGCTGACTCGGGGGTAGTGCATGCTGGGGAGCCCCGGGGTGATGAGGCTGGGGTGGGGCAGGTGCCCGTCCAGGGCGGCCGGGTGCACCGAGTGCAGGCGCGCGTGCTCGTAGTCCTCCCGCAGCATGTGCAGCCGCTCCCGCTCGTCCAGGTGGGTGCCCCGCTCGTGCTCACGCCGAGGGTCGACAGACAGAGGGTGGTGGTGATGGTGGTGGTGGTTGTAGTCGTGAGGCTCCCGATCCCTGAACGACCTGTCTGCTTCGTACAGTCTTGGCGTGGAAAGACGGTGAAGGGGGTCATTCCTTAGCAAAAAGTCTCTGCCCAGGGGGTCTCTCCGATGAATATCCAGCTCTCTGTACGGATCTCTCAAGGGATCCCTCATCGGGTCCCAGTGGAAAGAAGGATAGGGGAAACGTTCTCCACCAGGAATTGGGCTAATTCCCATAAAAGGCGTCATCATGCGAGTCCTATCCAGGCCACTGATGCTGTTCATGTGATGTATTCCAGTTACACCTACAGTCATGGGCATAGACACTAGAGGACTTGGATGGACGTTGGATGTAGATATAGGTGGTGGCTGATCAGATGACCGATGAGTCTGAGGTCCCTCAGGTTGAACATCATGGTCTTCCTTTCGCTCTTCCTTCACTTTGACTTCGTTGCTTTTCTTGGGATTCTCGTACGCCGGCTCGTTCTTCCTCTCGGCCTCGCGGTTTGAGGTGCTGTTGGGCCTGGTGCTCTCCACAACGGGGGGCCTGGCATAGGGGGAAGGAACCCTGGGCATCTGCTTAGACTCTTCCACCACTCGGCTTTCATGGCTCAGGCCTTCTTTCTCCGAAATATAGTTGTCCTTCACCTTGTGCTCTTCAACATTAATTTCCTTCCGGGATTCGGAGTGATCCCTCTCTCGTTCTTTGGGTTTCTCTTTCTCTCGGACCTCGGGGTTCAGATGGCTCCTGATCTGCTCGTTTGAGCTGCGGTTATGTCCGAGGGAATTTACTGGATGGATTGGTGCTGGCGAAGGATGGCTGGAGTGTCTTTTCTCAATGCTCTCCCTACAAGAAAGAGAAGTGTGAAAATGGAGGCATGAGAAGCTCTGCAGATAAAACAAAGCATCAGGTGTCTGGCTCTCTGCTCGTGGCTTTGCAGAGAGTTGGTAACATGCACCATTAATGCACTGTGCCTTTGGCACACCCAAAACACCAGAAGAACATCCCATCTCTAAACTTGGCCTGTTCTATTATCTCATCCCAGGAGAAGAAGATCCCAAAGCTGCTTTATGAATAATCTGATTGAGATCTCAAAGAGTGAAGTCCACAGAAGGCTCCCATGGAAATCCAGGTCTAGGACACACATTTCTAAAACAACGGCCTTAAATGTTTGCAAAGAGAGAGAAAAGTAAAAACATACTAATTTCATCCAAAAAAGTGAGATAATTAAATCCAAATTATGTGTTAGTAGTATTTTACCTGCTTCTTCTATTAGGAATACGTTTGGGAAAACAGATGACTTTCAACTGACTTTTAAAAACATTTCTAGACCTGTATATGTTTACTCATTTCTCTCCTCTATTCTCTACAAATGTGTAGCTTTTCAATTTATTTCTGACAATTCGATTTATTTCTTCAAACTGAAAACAAAAGCCTCTCAAGAAACCAGTACTGCTGGTGACAACCCACCTCTCTGAACAGGTGGAGACTTCTCTAAGTGTGCAGTGGCCTCAGTGCAAGTGTTTTAACAGAGCTGGCACAGATTGTGTGACCACTTCCTCAGCAGGCAGGGACAGGGTCAATGCTAGGAAGTCTCAAAATACCGTGAATTCATCACTCTTTCAAACCTATTTATGGTGTCCAAAAGATTAGAGAATTATTGCCTGGCAGTGGGCAAAAACCTAAATATGGGAATGGGTTCTGTACCAATTATTTTCAGGAAGCGGTGTTGACCAGGAGTTGTTATGGGCAACACTAAGTGAAAAAGCTTTTCTATTTATAACTAATAAAATTCATAAGGTCAATCTAATCCCTCAGTTCCAAGGATTTTAACCTCCTACTAATTTCAGTTGATCTCTAAGTTAGAGTCTCTCCATGAAGACAGCTCCAGATGCTCAGTGTTGGACACATGCTGTTTGCTGAGCATGGAAATTCTGTTCCATGTGAGAAGGACAATGAGCTGTTAGAGGCAAAAAGTATTATGGCTATAAACTAAACCACAAGAAGTTCCACCTCAACACGAGAGAGACCTTCTCTCCATTGAGGGTGGCAGAGCACCTGGAACAGCTGCCCAGGGAGGTCTCTCAGGAGACAAAACCCACCAGGATGTGTTCCTGTGTCAGCTGCTCCAGATGCCCCTGCTAAGGGGGTTGGACTGGATGATCTCTAGAGGTCCCTCCCAACCCTAATGATTCTGTGACTCTGGGAAAAGTGAGGGGTAAGCAGTGAGGCCCCTCAAGTCCCCACCAGCTCCAGTTTCCATGGTTGCTCTTTGGGTGCTGCTGACCGAGGTGTGCCCTGAACAGGCTGGGCTGAGGACACAGGGTGGCATCACTCTGCACAAGATCAGCAGTACTGGCTGCCTGAAGGGCAGCTCAGAAGGAGAAGTGGACACTTGCTCCTTCACCTACACAATTTCTGCTGCCTACTTTTCTTGCTGAGCTGAACTGCCCAAGATTTCCATCTCTAAGTACTTCTGGATGGTGAAACTGCAGCAACTGCAGAAAAACTGTCTTTGAGGAGGAAACTCTCAGTATTATAATCTCAGCAGAGGCATTTTTTCCTGTGCCTGGGCTGAATTGTTGAGACTGTCATTTCATGGGCCATGTCTGAGAGACCTCCAAGAGTCCAGAATGTGACTGTTAGAAAACATTTGGAAGAGGGAGCATTTGATACCAGAACTGCCAAGTCTGCACTGTCCAACAAATAACTCTTGGTATCAGGTTCTGCCTTGACTGACTGTGACCTAAACAGTCTGGAAATCCCATCCTGGCCTAATTTCCCTCCTCTTGCTTTCCACCAAGAGCTGAGGTGTTTGATTTAACAGCTGCCAGATCTGGACACATGGAGACCAAGTCAAGGCACTCCAATGAAGGATTCTCAAGTTGATGACTCAATTCTTTTACTTTGCTGGGAAAGCACTGGCTTGTGGGCTCTGCAATACCTAATCTTTTATTTATTTTGCTCACAGGACTAGTTCAAAGGGCACCCTTAATTGTTTTATTTCACTAGGAAAGCCCATTGAGTCCTTTCACTGATATTTAATCAATTTTCCATGTAATTGATGTATTTTAAATGACACATAAAATTTAGAGAAAATAACAGGCATTTTCTGTAATTAAAGAAAAATATATGTGCAACCAAAATAACATATTCCTTTGCCAGTTGCATCCTACTTAATGATAGTGTTGTATCATCTCAAGAGCCTAATGATTAGACAGCTCATTTAAGTGAACTCCAAGTAATCCAGTGGTCAGAGAAGGAATTTTTTATCCTCAGATACATCAAGGGCTCCTTAGGTTAAAAATATGGGAACAACTCTAAGCCACCTGCCTCCACAAAGAAGAAACTTAAAATGGTGTTCTCCAATGAACTTATTAGTACATAAAAGAAGTTCTGAGGCTGCACTGAAAACCACTGAATTTCTTATGCTGAGGACTTTGCCTTATTTTATGTTGATAAAAAGATCAAGAGATTCTTGGGTTTTTTTTTTAATGCTGTAGGTTTACATACACTTAACTGACATTATTAGATTGGAAGTGCTCAGTGACATCTTTTAAAATACCACTGAGAAGGAACAAATCCTTTTTTTCACATTAGCTATTTTTATTGATTTTTTTTTTTTTCCTAATGCTGGGCTGGCATAAGAGTCCTTAAAACAAACAAACAAAAAACCCCTCCACAACTGCAGACAATCACAGAATATCCCGAGCTGGAAGGGACCCACAATAACTCCTGACACTGACCTTAGTGGGGCAGAGCCAGGCCCAGAGAGACCTTTCCACTGAAGGCAGAAGGAATTGAGATCAATGCTTTTGGTTTCATGGCCCATTTCAGGGCTGATAAAATTAGACCCTTGACAGGATGATTTTGAGATTAAATCATCCCCCTGGGTGTGATTCCCAGTTCTTCCTGTTTGGGCAAATTAGCTTAAAAGGGGTAACAAAGACCAGGACCTCAACTCGACAGCAGAGCTCCACCTCCCCCTGCAGGTGCCACTGAATGTTACAGGGGTAGGAGAGGCTCACAAACCCTCCAGACTTTTTCTACACAGGGAACACGACTCCAGGAAGGGATTCTCAGCATCATCTCAAACAGGCAAAGGTGGAAACATGGTGCAAAGTCCAACTCTCCAACCCCCCCCAGCAAGGCAGCACTAGATGGGCAAAAACATCACTGCACTGGACTGGAAGCCAGAGTTGTGCACAGGGATGAGGTATGAATGATGCTTGCTGGGAAGCTCTCAAATTAGTGCAAAGAAACATGTTCTGGGCTATGATATGGAGTTCAGCAATGTCAAAGCAGCTCGCAAGGAATGTGTTTTGGAAAGGGATTTTCTTCAGCAGGAACATTTCATAAGAAAACGACAAAACAGCAACCAAAATAATAACATAACTCTACAGGTTACCCAAATCAGTAGTAACTAAAATGCTTTGCCATTCAAGCCAGTAAAGTTACTCACATGCTTAAGCATTTTGCAGGGCAGAATCCCCAATTTGTAACAGCAATTTCTTTTGAAGCATTAACACCAGACATGAAAATAATGAAGCTATGCTATCAAACAGAAAATATTCCAAATGGAAAATGTAGGTGAAAAGATCTGTAGTTTGTATTGCTTTTACAACAACACAGAAAAGCTCTTACATGTATTTTTAGAATATCTAATGTGTTAGCATAACTTCTTTTAGAAAAGGCTACTAATGCTTATATTTGGGTTAGTGACAGAGAAGTCAGAAAAGCACATCTCCTAAATATTCTTTAATGTTAAAAAATTAGAAACAAATAGCCATTATGTATTAAAGTAATGTGCAAACTTAACAGGAAAGCCATCAAGCCACAACTGAAAAAAGCTGAAATCAGCCTCTCTACATTTTTCAAGGAAGGCATGACACTTGCTGAATGGCAAATTCTTATAATTTGGTACTTCATTGTTAAGAGGAATTAACTGTATAATGGGAACAGTCCTGACAAAAAATATATGACCAGGTTTTACTTTCCATTAACCCTTCCCAGCCTGGACATGTTAGTGTGCAAGTCCATGTCAAATGCTGAAGAGAAGCTGTGCTTGAAGGTGTGTAAAGGCAGTGCATGTGGGGGGCCTTTCGAGGGGATTAAGGTGCATTTCATGAAGTGCATGCTCTGACCCTTCCTGTGGCATTGGCACATGACATCCCCTGTGCCCTTCATTGTTAGCATCTCACACCTTTCTCACTGGTCCCTCTGCTCAGGCTGCTTGGGGAGAGGGAGGGAGCGTTACTTGTTTTGCAGACAAAGTCCAATTGACAAAGTTATTGAAGCATTTGAAGGTGCAGATACGTGTCTGATGGACTTCAGAATCATCTTTTTCCATCCTGTCAGGCACTATCTACACATTAAATCTTCAAGAGGCCTATGACAACGTGACCCACAAGGTGACAGACAGGGTGTGTGGGTGTGGTTCTATTCCCACTTGCCACTGCCTGAACTCTGCTCCAGCAGGGCTCCTCTGGATGAAGTGCAGGGCAGGTGGGAAGAGAAACAGAGGACGTAGGAAACACCTGAGTTAGAACCTTCTTCCACGCTGTCACAGGCAGCTCCAGCTGTGCCTCTAGTGCAGCTCTGGGTTCCCAATGTGCCAGGCTGGGAAGGGTTAAAAGCGGAACGGAGCCCCAAGCTTCGAACTAGACAATTCTTGGAAGTTTTCTTTCGTACCTTTCTTTGTCATCTTTACTAACAGATGAGTCTCGTTTATCTACATCTCTATCTCTGTCATGAGCTGCAGCAGATGAACTGCGCTCCAGCTCTCCTGGCTTCAGCCAGGGCGGAGGGGTCGGGAACGAAGGAGGAGTTCGGTGCAGTCGGTTCCAGGGCTCGTGAGGGTTGCTAAAGCTCTGCATACTGGGGCCATCCTTGTGGCCGAACACTGAGTTGGGTGCTGAAATGGTGAAGTGGAAAACAAAAAGGTTTAAGAAAAAGGTATGCTCTAGTGAAGGTACTTACCAAAACAACTTTTACAGCACTCAGAGTTAAAATGAATACATATTATTGGGAGCTGGAAAAGGAAAGGAGATTAACAGAGATTCATTAGAGGGTCTCGTTCCTAAAAAATGGGCAGGCATCTGACAGCTCTTTTAATTGGAAAGGGGAATGCTGTGGATAAAATTGAGTGGGGATGAAGGAGGAAGATAAAAGTGGCAATGATCATTATTCCACATATTTTGGAGACATCAGGAAATGACCATTATGCAGACTATAAATAATGGAACTTGTTGCATTTGATCCTGAACCAAAACAAAATAATATGTGACCAAAACCATGCCAGATCTGAAGGATGGAGAAAGAGAGTGATTTTTACAAGGATGATCTTTTGTGACTGCCCAAATCTAGAGAAATGTTGATGATCCTGGACTAATAAATGCAGGTCAGTGATCTTTTCCAGGCACATGGCCTGGATTACTGGTGAGAAAGGGAAAAAATAAAATCTTTCCATCCCCAGCTGGGGATGCTGCACACATTAACTGCTTCTGAACATGCAACAAACCCCTGGGAAATTTCACAACCACTCACAGGTTCTCTATTTTTAAATTTTTTTTTTTAAATAAACAATGTAATGGTGACATTTAGCACTCCGTTGAACCCAAACCATTAAGTAATTAATGGAAAATTATTTACTGATGAGTGAAAAAGGTCGCTTTGCAAATTCCCACCTCTTAGTGGTACGTGGTCTAATCAACTGGTAAAACAGCCAGCAAACAGCCCCCATCACTCCATATTCTCCTGAGTTTCACAGCAAAAGAGGATCCAAAGCCAAAGGTACTCACTGACTGTGGGGTTCCCGAGCCCCCCGAAGGCGTTGCTGCCCACGGCGGTGAGGCCGCTGAAGGACGCCGGGCGGTTGAAGGGCTCTGCAAAGCAACACAAACAGCTCAGGCTCCCTGCACGCTGGGAATTCTGCAAAGCATTCCTGTGTCATCCCACTGCATCCCAGTGCTGTGCCCAGCACTGGTGGAACATGGTCCTCCCACGGCACAGCACTGATTGTGAGGGGCTGGCACAGGAACGATGGGGTTTGTTCCTGTGGTCCTGTCCCCTACTACAAAACCCTCCTCTTCAAAGAAAACCAAGAGGTTAAAATATATACAATACTGCATTTAAAACCTGCAAACATCTCCATTTTTACTTCCTTTTATTCCCTTCCAGTTCAATTCCGTGGTTTTCTTCAGGAAACCTCCCTGGCTAGTAAGACTATTATTAACTCTGGCAACTGTGCTCCAAACACCCTCAGGCCATGTCTCCTAAACCAGAGCCAGGATATAAATAAAATGTCCCATTACACTGATGTGTTCTGCTGACCTGACAACTGTAGAATTCTCCTGGTATTTATTGCTAATAGTATATGAAAAACTAGTGTGGACTGAAAAATGCAGGAACAATTCTTTTAGTAGTTAACGCACACAGGCTATAGGAAAGTCATATAAGCAAATTCTCACTTTATTTTGGAGTAGTCTGACAATTTTGATGAAGCCACTTCTGATAAATAACAGCACAGAGAAAAGGAAGCCCAAACCCTTTTCTATAGGCAGCAGAGTGCAGAATGATAAACCTGCACTGTGTGTCTGCTTTGTCAATTTGTGACCCTCCCAAATTCTTCCCTATGCAAAATAAAATGCCAATTTAGTGTCCTGATCTCAGATGTTCCCATAAGGAGCAGAGCACCTTATTAAACAGCAGGGAGTTAGAAGGGAAATAACAACACCTGGTAACTTGGGTGGTTCTGGTTTTAAATGTGTATAAACCAATTTTGACTAACAGACACACCTGAGGCCAGATCACAAGATTTTAAGTATATATTTCCCGCTCACTTTAATGGAAAACCAGACATCTAAGTAGGAGATAGGAAAAGAAACACTTCTATGATCCAAAGCCTTGACCCTAAGGCATTTTTTTTGGCTGGTTATAACATAAATCCAGTGAAACCCAAGCAGCCCTGTCACTCTGCATCTCTAAGGTCCAGATGCTTTCAAAAGTATTTCAAAACATGCTGTCAGCAACACTAGTAGGTGTATTTTGAACTGCTACCTGGGTGAAGGCTAAAATTAAATGGCCAAAATGTGCAATTTGTAAAGGCTGAGCAGGATACTCCACACAGGGAATCTGGAGTGGTCTCAGTGGCCAATGTCTGAGTCGAATTCACCAGTAGTTACAGAGAGAACCTACCTAAGTGAGCAGCTGGGTTGAGGAAGTTGCTGTGGTGAGGTGGTGGGCCAAAAGGGGTGCCAGCTGGATGCCCCCCACCTGCCAAAACAAAGCAAAAGGGGTGAATTCCCAGCAAAAGCTCAGAAAGGGACTTGCTGTGCTCTGGGCTTGACCTTTATTTCTTAATTTTCTCAGGTGAGCCCAGAGTGCTGTGATTGTGGGGGCTCTCAGTCAGGATCTCATGCAGATAGAAGCTGCTTTTCCAAACACAAATTCCCAGGTAAAGGGGTGGGAGGGAATGAATGTTGCAGTAAAGAAAAAAAAAAAAAAAAAAACACATGTGAAATACAGTTTATTTCCAGCATCTCATCTCCAGGATGCACTGGACACCACTCTGTGAAGAAACGTTTCTCCATTTACTACCTGTAAATACCCCTGACATTTCAGCAGGTTGGGCCTTTGTTTTAAAAGCATGCAGAATAATTCTGAAATATTTATCGATGGACAAGAATAATTTTAAAATATTTATCAAATAGACTAATAGCCCCTGGCATGTCTTGCAGAGAGTTCATAAGCCAAAGCATATGGGAAATTCCTGGCAAGGATTAGCATTTTAATGAGCACGGAGCAAGGAGGGGATTTCACTGCTCAGGACTCACTGGCTGTGGAGAAGAGAGTCGAGGGCCGGGCCAGGTCATGGGGGTGGTGGATGGCTCCAAAAAGGCTGGGGCCTGGTGGCCTGCTCAGAAATTCTGGTTTCAGGCCGAAGTCCAGCTTGTGTGGATCCGACTGCATCTGTTTCTGAAAGGGAAAAACAGCATTTGCAAGAGACTGTCGGAAAACATAACAGCAAAAGGCACTTTCTGAATGATGTGGGTGTAGCAGTTCATTCATACTGATGTTTTAACAGGAACATCAGTTTTTGGGACCCCCAGCATGGGTGCACAGGTGTTTTCCTGGAAGGCAGATCTAAGGCAAAGAGGGAAAAGCTCCTGCATACAAAGTTCACCCGTGTTTTCACATCTGCTCACATCCACCCTCCAGGGTGCTCAGCACAGACCTGCCTTCTACAGGAAACACAAAACTCTCTGAGGAGGCCTCAGACACTTGCTGAGCTGAAAGAATAGGTCAGTCATAAAAATAAATCAAGATGTTAGCTTGGCCCTGACCCCAGGTGGGCAGGAGTGTTAAAAGCTGGGTGACAGCCCGAGCTGTGCCAGGCAGAGCTGCCCCTCTGCCCAGGGGTCACACAGGGATGGCACAGGCCAGCCAAGGGACACCAGAGCCTTTAATTTAACTGTGAAGCTGCCACCAAGAAATGCAGTGTATCCCTCAGTGCCCCTCAGGCTGCAATTAGGGGCTAAAATGACCCAGGTGACAGATGAAGAGCGTTTGATCTAAGGAACTGCAGCCCCCTTTTGGCTGCTCACACTCCAATTCCAAATGCTGCATGTCCCTGTCTTTATTTCCTTGTATGAGAATCAGCAGCCTCCATTCTGTGAGGAGAATTTGCTGAGGCAGATGGATTGTGAAGGATAAGTGGGTGAAGGATGGGCTCTTCTTTGTGCCACATCCTCATTTCAGTGGTGCCAGCTCCAGTAGTTTTATAGAAGGAAGGAAGAGAAAAACCTAATTCCCAATGCCCTGTGCTGCCAGAACTCCCTAAACACAGGTTGCTGATTAATTGTACAGGTCAGCTGAAAGGATTTACAAATGGGTAACACTGAACCAGGAGATCTTAACAGTAATTCTGGAACAAGCTATGCTTTATAAATCAGTATTTAATACTGTGCCAGCCCGGAGTATAGACTATTACAATGATATAAATATGCATATTAAAAAGTTATGGTCAAGTTAATGTGCATGCCTAGGAGCTGTTTTTCAAGTGCTACTAATGTGTCTATGTAGTTATGAGAACAAAAAAAAAAAGAAAGAAGAAAGAGAAACAAAGGCATTATCTATGTTTGGAGGTAAGGGCCTGCAAGGACACTGAAATGGCAAAGATGGCCAAATTAAGGTAATTTCTTCTAAGAAAGTACCACTGAAGTGCTTTAATAGTTAAAAGAAGTTCAGCAAATGCCTCAGCTGAAGCCTGCATGCCAGATTTTTATGCTGTGAACTCATTTTATTCTTCTTTTTAACAACCAAGTTATAAACCCCTGACAGGCATTACTCAGAATAGCAAAAGCTTTAATTGCAGCCATATGAACGGTGCTGTTCTAAATAATGAACAAATCCCTGTCTGAACAGGAACAGGAGTATCATGGATGTGTTAAAAGATTTTTGAACGTGTTGGGTTGCCTTAAAATAGCACCAGAAAAAACAGTCAGGTTTCTTTTATCCCCAGCTGCTGTTCAGGAGAGCACCCCCCTGGCTGCCAGTCCTTACAATGCATTTCAAGGCCAGAAAACCTGTAACACCTTCACTTGGTGCCCACTGAAATCAATGTAATTGTCTGCCCTGATGTGAGCTCGGGCCATAAGGCCTTTCCTAGAAGAGAGAGGGCCAATTATGGAGCACAAATCCTCTCCTGAGCAGTGGTCAGTCTGAGGAGCAGTGTAAATGTGCCTTGTGCAGCCCTGGCTTTGCCTGTGGAACTCCCCAGGTGTGCACAGAGGTTACTCAGGTCTTGCTGCAGAGGCAAAGGCAGGCAAACAGCATCCACAGCTGCATGCAATTTTTCCTGAGGTCAGGAAGGTTGTGTTTTAAAGTTTCCCATCTTGCCTGCTCCTCCAGTGCCTGCTGCTGCCCTCTGCAAGCAATTACTGGGCCAGGTAGTTAGGGAGCCTTCCACACTTCTCAGCAGCCTGGTGGCACTGCAGCCAACAGGAAATCTCTGAGCAGGTCTGGTTTATTCCCTGCTCTGTGGTCAGGCAGCACCTTCAGCTTGTGCAGGACAAAAGGCACCTTCACAGCCATGGGTTAGAAGGAGAAATTGTCCTCTGTGAGCCTTCAGCCAGAGATTCCCCCCTCGTGGTCACACAGAGGGAGGACGTGGCTCCCCTGTCCTCCAGGAACACAAACCAACCTCCCTCACTTATTCTAGACCAGACCTCATTTTTTTGCCTGAACTGAGATAGTGAAAGACATTTCTCAATTATTCTTGAAATGTTCATCATGCACAGCCTCAAAAAGCCAAGTAACATCCTGTCCTGTGCTTCTGGGCTTTATTCCTGTTTTTTTTTAACATGCAAGGTAGAAAAGGATTAGGTAAAAGAAATGGCTGCATGAAAATGGCATTTACTATGAGTTATAAATACAGTGGTATGACCTCTCTCTGAATATCAAATCAAGGAAGATTCAAAGGACATAGACAGCATGGGAATAATAATTTCATTTCAAGAAAATACCTTTTCAATAAAATAGAAAAAAAGGACATATAACTCTCTAGGTCTATAATCTTGTCTTTTTTGATAATGGGAAGATGAATGAAGATCACTAGCAGGGGAAACATAAGGAAGCAGAGAAGAGAGATATGTCTACTGCAGCAAATTAACCTGTCAACCTTGTTTAAAAGGGTTATTTTTAAACTCTATTAGCTGCAGGTTTTTGTAGCTGTTCAACATCTTCATATTCTTGTAGCAATACCTTATACACCTCAATTGCACACACAGACTGCAAAGTGCTGTGAGTTCCCTGGTAATTTTAGTTTCTAACACAAGTTATTGACTCCTGAAGCATGAGCAGTGAAGAACAACCTTTCCTGACTTAGTGAAAAACTTCAGGAGCAACACAGGATTTTTCTGTGACAAATAGAGTAAAAATACTATAAAGGGAAAGAAACTTCACAGAGTCCACGTGCAATGAAAATACAGTTGCAGTAGGAATAGAAACACCCTCACTTATCACATGAATACATTGCTTTTCTCTGACTTTTGTTTCAGGAGAGCCCAAACTGCCCATGGACCTTACCCCTGAAATCTCAAAGCTTCAAAAATAACTAAGGAAATACTTCCTTCCCTTAAGTTTCAGTGCAATGAGAGAGTGTCTGATAACACATCACCTGAGGGGCTGTGTCTGCCTGAGCAGCCTGGACTCATCCAGGTCCAACCTCCAGCCAGGAGATGGGCTGTGAAGGAAGAGTGATGGGAGCTGTGCAGCCACACTGGGTAAAGCATCCCAGGGACAGGAGAAATCTCCCTGTGCCCCCTGCTGACCAGGAACAGGACTAAGAGGAACGGGATACACATGCTTTGCTTCTCCAGACTTAAAAAAAATCCCATCTCACATTCGTGTCCTCAGCCACAAATAAAAGCACTGTTGCAGCTCTCAGGCACACCCATCTATCTCACCCTCCCCAGCTACAAACTGGTGGTTATTGCCCCAGATCTGGTGTCCTGGCTCCAGAGCATCCCAGACATTTCACTGGGATTGTACTTCAGGTGTTCATTCTGATACACCAGCTCTCTGAATGGGAGGGTTGGGCTATAATGCTGTGCATGGTGGATTTAACAAAGCATGGGCCATGGCATAGAACTGCTCAAGTGAGAGGCAAACTCTTCCTCTCACAGGTTTGCTCTGTGCCCTTCACCCAAAATTCAGGTGTGCCCCACCACTGACCTTGACTTTCTGTTGGTGGTGGTAGATCTGCCAGGCGATGTGGACGTGCATGGCACACCACTTCCCAGGTTTCTGGAAAAACAAAACACATGCATCAGTAACTTCCAAAAAACTGTGGTGCTTTATCCTAGTTCTAGAACCATTACCAACCCTTAGCCCAGCCCAGTTTGGTCCAGGGGATCCCCCCACAAAGGGCTCCCTTCAATCCTCTTGGGAACCTAGAAATGAAAAACCTTTGTCCCTTGCTAAGAAGTTTTTCTTGGATATCCAGGAATGCTCCTGTTTTACACACTCCTGTAATCCTCTGATGCCACTGGCTGAGAATGCAGCTTGTGCTGCTGGGATCAGTGAAGCTGTGTCCCAGCCAGCAGCTGCTGCACAGCTGGATTGCTCACAACTGCACACTGAGGTCATTCCCACAAGTGCAGCTATGCCAGGACTGGCATTTCCACAGAAAGATGAAAATTAAAGCAGCTTAAAAGGTCTCTCTGGTTTTCAAAATAAATCTGACTCCCTCATATAATTACTGGTCTGCACCTCCAAGACTTGAGCACATAAATGTACTGAAAACACTGGAGGTCAGTCCATTCACTCTGTTTGGGAGGGTCTTTGCATCCTTCCTGTCACCACGGCTTTGAGTCCCAGGGAGGAGAGAGGGAGGGAAGAACCAGAGTGTTTGTTGTGTTTCCTTGTTGATTTTGAACTCCATTTCCAGCACAGCTGGAAACTTTGACTGAAAAAGACTCATCGAGGATATATTTTTCCCAGTTTTGTTACTTCAAGGTCTGTAGTAACCACACAACTAATGATTCCCGCAGATTTAAAATTTATCACAGGAATTCAAGAAGCTCCTTGAGCTACTTGTAAATGAAATGTTTCACAAACTATGGCACATGGTCTGCCTTCTATTTTTAGGTGTGTATCAACCAATAATTAAATCACAAAAAAGTTAAACCCTCTCTCACACACATGCTCCCCTAAGCTCAAGCCTTTTGCTAATTCAAAACAACTGGCTGTGCCAGTGATTTCATGAGTTCACTTGGTTGGTTTGATCAAAATCTAAATCTTCTTCTTGACTACATTGAAAAATTAACAAGAAACCCTTTTGGACGACTGATAGATCAATCTTTAGATCCTTATTTCTAAAATATTTTGTGTTTGAAGCGGACTGTCTGTCCATACTGGACAGTAAATACCTGGGTGGGATGTACCATACTGAATAACACTGACAACACCCAGTAAATAATAAAATGCAAAATCCTTCAGTGTGCAGTGAAATGACAGGGGATCACTGCCAGGATCTCTGGGATTTGGCTCAGGAAATGATGATAGAAGGATTATCAATATTTAACCTCGAGTGTTCGTGTGAGGGGCTGCACGAGAAGCAGAAAACTTCCAACTTTGAAACTCTGCATTGTCCTTGAGCGATCACGAGCTGAAGGACTGACCATCCTGCTCCCAAATGAGGGGTAAAACACCCCAGATGACACATGGCAGCACTGATTTGCAATTATTCTGCTGCTTCAACCCGGTGGGACCGAGCCAAGCTCGACAAACTGTAGCACAAGAAGATTTCTTACCCTCAACATGGGCCTGAACGGATCTGTCAACTGTGAAGAAGAAATGACAGCTTGGTTACATGCCTGTCACTCAAACAATTGCTCTAATTAACAAATTTGTATTGCTTCATTAAGAGACAAAATTAAAATGTTATCATTTTACTTTCAAATGAAGCCCTTTTGGATAATAATTAGTCCTTGGCCCCCGTCCCTGAGCGTGGCCCTCCCCCCTGGGCTGTTGTACCTGAGTGTTGACAAGCAACTCAACAAGGCTCACAGAGAGCTCTGTCCTCTGGCATCAGCTTTAATTGGTTGATTTAATGCTACAAAAATGGCTGGTTAACTCTGCTGAAGAAAGCACAGATCTCTCCTTTGGGCAAACTTTTGTCGTCTTTCAAAGCTGCTCGGCTCATGACCAGGCTGGAGAGTAGACAAGCTCCTTTTCCACAGGCTTGATCCCACAGATTGGGTGGGAAGGGGCTGGAATGGGGTGTCAGCCCCCACGCAGCAGTGTGTCCATCACCAGCCATGGCATCAGCTCCTTGCCTTGTGCCTCCAACCAGCCACCACTGACGGACTGCCCGAGGGGTTCTCTGCCACAATGGGCTTTGCCTTAATTATTTTTTCACACTGCAACAGATGTTGGTAAACAGGGGCTGGGTCAAAACCCAGTTTTCTCATTACTACTTTTTATGTGGCCTGTTGGTTTTTTTGTTTTTGTTTTGGTTTTTTTTTTTTAGTAGATTATTTTCTTATTCCCCTTTTTTTTGCTCATATTTCATCAGTTAATGCTGGAAAATAAATTCAATTTATTGGGTATTGCTCATTTGTTTTGGATTTTCTGTTTTGAAATGCAATCCTAAAGGAGATTTATAGGTGTAAAAGGTACTTAGCAGACGCAGTGATGGCACAATGAATCATCTTGAAATAATCGAAACTCAAGTTGAAAGGGAACATAAAGCTAAATGACTTCAGGATGGGAGGCTCTAGTTATCTCTGCAATTAGATACATAAACAAAAATGTGGCTCTTTTTGGTATAAAGCTCGACTACAGCACCAGTTCTGAGCAAACCAAAGTACTGGAATTTGGCATAACCCAACGAAAACAGCTCTGCTGCACCTTAAAGTGAAGCCATAGCACAACATGGAATTTTAAGGAGAGCTCTTCATTGCTTTTGTCAGAGAGTTCTGCTAAAAATGTGTCTGTGTGATGTTTCTCATGGCAAACAACGTCCATGAATTCTCACACACAAACAACCCACGGGCAGGGAACAGAAGGAGGAGAAGAGCCCAAGTGCTGAGGCAATAAATGCTGTTCACATCCCCTGGAACGCAGGAACCCAGAGGCACCAAGTGATCAATAAAGTGCATCTGTATTTCACTGGTGCAATCAATGCTACAGTAACCCAGGGAATAACTGCCATTACCCACATTAAAAACAATTACAGAGTACAAACACAAATCTTGGAGAGGTTTGTACAATTCTGTGCTGAATTGGGCTTTTATGCCTTGACCCCTGGGGCTGTGGGGGGAGAGCTGAGCGAGGAGAGAGCTCTGCCACTGCACAGGATCTGTTTGACATTCTTCCCATACAACCTCTCCAGTCCTCACTGACTGAAACAGCTCAGACAGCTTTAGTTTTAGGATATGAATTTGGACACTCGAGGTTTTCAGGAGGAAGAGCTTTACTTGAGGAAAACAAAACATGTTTTACGGACCCGTGGATCTTTCTGGAGAAGGGTATGTGGGACCGTCCCAGGCCTGGCTGCAACATCAATAGGATTGGAAGTCTAGAAACACCACAGGGAGAGAGCATTAATGAGTGACACAATGCTTGAAAGCAACAGAACGTGAAAAATAATAGTTCTTTATCATTACCACTGTCTAAGCAGCAGAGATAAACTTCTTAAAGAGGAAAGAAGAACCATTATAATCCACTTAATAGTATCTGTATTATCATCTCAATTTCCAAAGTTCCATTGTCCACCAACTTCCCATTATTTTAATCCAAAACACTGAGGGAACAGTGATTGTTTACACTGGAAAATCTTTCTAATATGGAAAACCTGATTAGGAACACATTTCTGACATGGAATCTAAGGCAGTGTTTGGAGGAGCTCGTGCTCTGCTGCTCATCACCAGTGCACTGAGCACACTGAGCATCTCCTCAGTCACTGCCCAAGGGCCTCAGCTCCTTCCACAGGCACTGGCACCACACAGATACCAGGAAAAATAACATCCAGTTGAAAAAACATGAAAGCTTTTCCCATGATTTGAATGTAAATAGTCAGTTAATAAAACAAAATGCAGCTCTGTGAAGAAAAAAAAAACCAAAACAAAAAAAATCAACCCAGCTCCCCTACATTTAGACAGAGCTTCTTCCTAGGTTAAATGAAGAAAATAGAAATCAGCTACAGCATAACTAACAATTAAGAACCAGAGTTGTTAACAGTCTGATTACCATACAGAGGAAGAATCCCACTAATGAACTGCAATTTACATATTCAGTCATTAGAGTGGATGGGCCAATTTAAGGGAGAAGGTGTCTCCTCTGCAGACATTCCAGGCCTGATTTCAGGCTTTAGTTGCAAAGGCCACAGACTGTGGTTTCCTCCCACTGATAAACAAAGAGTGACTCCATGAAAACAAAAGAAAACCCCCCTGAACTCCTCACATTTCTCTCTCCCAGCTATCACACACGAGGAGAGACAAATCAGTGTTCTTCACTGTGGTGGAGCTAATTATGGAAATGAGTAAACAATAATGATCACCATTTCTAAAAATCCTGATTATTACATGACCTTTCATTAATGCACACTATCTCAGAACTAATTATATTGCTTCTAAAGTGAACTATGCCATTATATATATAATTTTTTTAGAAAATGTTTGTATGTGTCTGAACCTAATGAGAAATAACTTCTCTTCGAAGTACATTTGGAAAAAGCCTGTTGTCCCCCATGGAATTAGGCTGTAACTCAGACCTCATGGCTCCAGAATAGGAACCATATCCAACCCCTGACCTGCATCACACAGTGTGAGTAGTAAGAGGTAATTCCTGTCTTACCTTGGGTTGAAAAGCTCCTTGTAGGGATCCAAAGGGGCCAGTTGGAGGAATCATGGGAGGAATACCTGATACAGCTGGAGGATAGGAGTGAAACAGCTGGAACAGAAAGAGGAGAACATCAATGCCAGCACAGGACAGGCAGAGGAGCAACACACAGAAAACATTCCTGTGGAACAGCAGGAAAATGGTACATGGAGAAAACTGAGGAGCATCGGAGTGATCTCGTTGCAACAATGTTAGTTAAAGCATCAATGAGATGTTCACAGATGTCATGATGTTTAGAGCTTAAAAGCAGTTCCAAAATCAGGCAGCCAGAGCCTGTCCCTGCATTAGCCCAGCAGAGTGTGAGACAGACTTTGTTCCTTCAGTTATTCATTTTTAAATTGGAGAGTGGTTTTAAATGGTTTCAGTCTGTGAGTCGTTTCAAGAGAAAAGGCAGAATCCTGAGTTGAATAAGACCTGGAAATCTACTGTTTAAGTGGAAAAAACCCTTATGAGTTCTACGATATTGTATCATTAAAACTCCATTAGTACCTTGGGATTTTAATGGTATCTGTAGGAAATGAGCAAAATATGCACAATTCTTACTTCATTAGCCTGTCTGAGAGGATATCCTGCCACATCTAATATTAGCAGACAGACAATCTGATTTGTTAAAAATTAGTATTTAAACAAAATGTTAAGGCAGAACCCTCCAAAAATGTAGGGTAATTTTTTATAAGGAGAGTCTGCTAAGCACAAAAATGTGCACATCTCCACTGACCTCCCTGCCCCCAGTGAGCAGAGAATTCAGGCAAAAAACACAAAAGGCTGCTCTGTAGTAGTGCAGACAAACCCAAGGGAAACAAGCAGGTAAACTAAATAAATAAATTCTTGGCTGTGAGGGTGGTGAGGCCCTGGCACAGGTTGCCCAGAGAAGCTGTGGCTGCCCCATCCCTGGAAGTGTCCAAGGGCCGGCTGGAAAGCGGTTGGAGAACTGGGTGGTGGGAAGTGTCCCTGCCCATGGCAGGGGGTGGAACTGGATGGGCTTTAAGGTCCCTTCCAACCCAAACCAGCCTGTGATAAACCACATCATCCCAATGGGATCTTGTCTCCGTGCTCTGGCTGTGACCCTTTGCCTCACTGCTGTCACCCAGAACTCATCCAATTCCATGGAAATGCTGGGATCACCCACCAAATTGCCTTCTGGTGGCAGTCAGGGATTCCAAGCATCACACTCCAAATACCTTCTCCCAGTGAAAGCTCTGGATCTAATGGGATGGCTCCCAGCTCCACAGGGACTGCCACCCAAAATCCCACTGGGGTTCTCTGGCTGAGACAAACCCCTCCGAACACACCAGATCAAAGTCAAGCACTGTTTGCTACTTTTAAGATCAAATAAATGAGTTAATGGCCAATTGAACAGAAGCAGGACTGGGCAAAGTAAAAGACTGGACATGAAGAGCAGGAAAACACTGAAAAAATCCCATCCCAGAGTGAATCAGTATCACAAAGTTTTGATGGATTTGGTTATGCCAGGCATACACATGTGCTTTGCTTCATCCCTTTTCCTTCCATTAGCTCATCTTGCAAGGTCATTTATTCATATTATATTCACTGATCACTGAGAAAATATTTCAGTATTTCACAGGTATCAGAAGATTTTCTCAGTTCAAAAGCATGGTATCAAACTTCTGTTCAAGAGTGTTGCTGTTGTTGTTTTTAATTCCATTTAATTTGGACCTGCTCCATGCAGTGGTGCAGAAAACACTTTGAGATTTAGTTGATAGTGAATGGTAGGCATTTGAGAAATCATTAAGAGACACTTGTCCTCATTTACAATAACTTTTAATGAGTAAAATGTGCTTTAAATCCTCCAGTGTCTTCTGCATTTAATTCTCTGTGTAATGGACTAATTCCAAATGATGGGAAAAGACGTAATACTTTGTATTCTATTGGCTATGACTGATAATAAGGAATTATTTCCTTAGAGTTTTATAACAACTGGTAAGTTAATTAAATGTGACCTTTCCTCAAGGGCAGAATTATTAATAAAATATAAATATTATAACTCCATGATCTCTTTGTATCAGTTAAATTCCTCCAGCTTTCAGGATATATCTTTCATAGTCAGTGCTCCCTTTTTCCCCAGTATCCCTTCTCTTTTGAGCAGCATTTCCCCTTTCCACAGCTCTCTTTGGCTGGATGTGTGCAATGCTAAACTAGACCTGGCTGGAGGTAAAAATGATGCCTCACTGTGTTAAAAGTGATTGTAAAATCAAAGATGCCCAGAAAGAAAACTGATTTCAACCTCAACATGAGTTTCTGTGTGAGCTGCATTCCCTGTCCTACAGGACATGGATTCTAACCCTCAAACAGACCTTGTTCTCCTGCAAAGTTCACCTGCACTCCCTGCCAGCTTTTTTAAGGTATTTGAATTCCTGGTGTGGATCTATAGTGGAAGCTCTTGTCTTCAGGAAGAAGGTCTGTGGAAGTGCCACAGCTGGACACTATTCCTATTTCTCCTGCCCTATGGGATGTGCTCTCACACCACTCAGGGGCTGCTTTTTGGAGCTGCAGCTGCTGAGGGAGCCCACAGAGCAGTTCCTGTCCCATGGGGGGATCACAGAGCAGTTCCTGTCCCATGGGGGGATCACAGAGCAGTTCCTGTCCCATGGGGGGGATCACAAGGAGCAGTTCCTGTCCCATGGGGGGATCACAGAGCAGTTCTTGTCCCATGGGAGGATCACAAGGAGCAGTTCCTGTCCCATGGGGGGATCACAGGGGTCAGGCCTTGCTGGGGTTACACACAGATCACTCATCCAGTGTAACCTGGAACCACGGGATCTCCTGCTATCAGCTTGCCAAATATCCCACGGTGATCACTGTGCAACCCCTTCCCAAGGACAAACCTTTCCTGAAGGGAAGGCAGGGGAGGCACAAGGGAGCAGATCTGGGCCAAGGCCCACAGCACAGCTCTCTGGCTAATGGAGAACAGCCTTTCCTGACATTAGAGGGGGTGATGCCATGACCTTTACAATCCAGGTTGATAAGGTATTATGTCACTGAATTTGAAAAGCAGATACAGCTGGAGACTTCTACAATGTTTCCTGTATTACATGTGGACTTCTGTGCTTTATTTCTAAAATTCTTGTACCTATCTCCCAGGTCCATGTTCCTGCCTGGATCAACATTGCTGACAATATATCTTCTGAATCCATGTAAAGCTCACCAAATCCCAGGGCAATTTTGCAAACAGCAATGCAAATGAGCAGCATCACCCTTTATCAGCACAGGCTTAAATGTTTGCCCAATACTCCTCGAGCTCTGAGTCTGCAAACACTCTCTTACTGTTCAAGTTACTCAAATCAAGTGCCAGAAATTACCAGGCCTGTTCAGGTGCAGGCCAGGCTGTGAGCAGAGACTGTGGTTAATCAGGACAGCAGAAAGCACCACACCATGGTCTTAACCAGTTTTTTTTGCCCAGTTCCACTTCTAAGCAAAACCAACACATAAAGCCAAGTGCTTTGCAGATTTCTGAGTGCCGATGCAGTACTCCTTCTCTCATCAAAATATCCCTGTAGGATTTAGAAACTCTTGCCATATTCATTCAGGTACCTGCCTCTGCCAATAGGATGAAGGAAATGCAACCCAGATTTCAGCAGCAAATGAATCACCCTTAGGAGCAGAAGGTTTACACTTAACTGGAATATTAAAAATCGGTTCATCTCAATAAATAACATTTTTGGTAGCTTATATAAACACATCTAGTGCATAGCTGGATTCATGTTGCTGTCATCAAACAGAGCTTTCAAAACATAACAAGCCCAGTGGATCAGCTGTGCCTTTGAAATCTGAAGAATAAGACAGGTTTTCAGATTTTATCAAACAAAATATGATAGATTAGGAAAACTATTAGATTACCTATCCCTGGAGGGTTTGCATGATAGTTTGTCAGTTCATTTCAAGTTTCTTAGGAAAAATATCAGCCTAAGGGTTTGTGGCACAACCAAAACACTGTGATGGAATCACTGCTCCCTCCTGCTCCATGGAACAGTCAGCTCTTCTGTCTCATCTTTTCACATCAAACCTCTCCAAATGGTGTATGAGCAAGAGATCTTTTGATTGGAAAAGCTGATACTGCATCTTGATCAGAAACAAGCACCATGAGCGCAAGCCTTCAAAAGCCAAAGCAACCAAGGACGATAATGGTAAATCCTGGAGTGATGATTAGGGAGAGATTGGACACTGTGCCGTTGATTGAGTGGTGATCCCAACCCACCACAGAAAAGCAGTGAAGTCAGTTTGAAACAGAGCAATAAAACTCACACTGTGACGGTAGAAGGGGTCAACTTTTGTAGGGTATTTGTCAAACTGCAAAGGGATCAAAGCACAAACTAGTTACTTGATATTTCCTTGCTTTACTTCTGTTGGCAAAATAGAAGACAAACTTCTCTATTGTTTGGCAACCAACAGAGAGGAAAAAATATGCAGAAAATTAAGTTTCCAATGAAACTGTTTGGGATTTTTCTTTCTTCAAAGTAAATCAAGAGACAGGAAAAGGGAATAGGCACCAGAGTGCACACTCCTCGTCCCTCAGCTCCCATCCTTCACCTGAACCTGCCGCTCACGGGCCTGTCACGAGGGAGGGACAGCCCTGCCTGTCCTGCCCAGCCACACCTGGGCAGCACAGGCCTCCTGCCCCACACCCTGGCAAATTCTTAACACTTTTTGTAATAAAGAATAGAGTTGTGCTCTACTTATCCTCACATTTCTGCCTGGGGTACGCACCATGGGCGGTGCTGGCGTCGGCATGATGGCAGTGGGTGGGATGGCGTGGGGGAAAGGCGTGAAGGTGTGCTGGTGTGTGTGTTGGTGTGTGTGCTGGTGCTGGTGCTGGTGCTGGTGGAACTCGGTCCTCAGGTAGGGCGGGGGGCCCAGGGAGGCCCCGCGGTCTGCGCTCTGCGAGGCCAAAAACCGCGTGTTTAGTTCCTGACGGAGGAGATCTTGTTCTGAAACACAAACAACAAAACAACCCCCCATGAGCTCTGGGGCTTTTCCACGCCTTGTGCCACTTGGCTGTCTGTGGCATCAGTGCTGTACTTAAAACCCTGTGCAGGGGGAGAAAGCTCCCTCGGTCTTCCCCAAAGGCCTGAGACATTTGAAAGTCTCCATTTCCCCTTCCTCACCAAGCCTGCTTTCACATTCCTCTGAGTATTAACCTGAGGGTTCTCCCTAAATTTGTATGGACATGAACACAGCCCTAAATAGGTGAGGAGGTACGAGTAGGCTGGAGGAGCAAACGAGTGGCTGCTGCTCATGTGAGTACCCTGACGTACAAACTGATGTTACTCAAATGTTGATATTCCTCCATTTTCTTCCCCCACATCCTTCTCAGTGACCTGGTGGGGCCCTGGCACAGGTTGCCCAGAGAAGCTGTGGCTGCCCCATCCCTGGAAGTGTCCAAGGTCAGGCCAGACGGGGTCTAGTGGAAGGTGTCCCTGCCCATGGCAGGGTGGTGGATCCAGATTATCATCCTTCCAACCCAAACCATTCCATGATTCCATTTTTGATCTCCCACAGTCAAGGTATAAAACGAAGCAACAGTTTTCTCCAGTGGTAAGAATCTCTACATCTCACCCCCCACCACCATCTTGCACAAACCCAGGCTCAGCACCACTGTGTTCACAGCCACTGCAGACATTCTCCCCAGCCAGGGAAGCAACGCTGGGCTCAGACCACAACTGCAGTGAAGACCTTCAGCAAAGGGGTCACAGATTCTGTGGGGGCACACAGTGGTTGTACCATGGGTTGAACAAAAGAGACATGAAAAAAGCACAGCCTTCCGAAAATAGTCATTCCCAGGGCAGAGGAAAAGTCATTGGGTATGTCTGGGTGTTTTGGGGCTCTGATCTCACTTAGAATCATCCAGCAGCAAGTACAGCCTCTCCCCACCCAACAGTGCACCAAAACCAGCTACTCAGACTAAAACCAGAGAACTGGTGTCCTACACTGCATGAGACACTCTGGGGCCACAACCCCTCTGGCTCTTACCTGAGTAAGTGCTACCAGCGGGGTGTCCTGGAACCTGCAGTGTCCCTGACGTCAGTGGAGGTGGAGGGGGCAGAGCCGTGGGAGGGGCAAACATATTGGGGTGGTGGGGGTGTGCTGGGGGCTGCAGGGTGGGCGTGAAGGTGTGCAGGGGGCTGTGGCTGGGCAGGGACAGCGGGAACGGGGAGGCCGAGGGGTGGTGGGATATGTGGGGAGGAGGGGCCTGAGTCTTGGCAGGAGTGCTGCTTCTGCTGCTGCTGTTAACGAGAAGAAAAGCAATTAGGCTTTGCATGGAGGGGAGGAAAGCTCTGAACACAGACCCCCTCCCAACCCACACACAGCTCACATCAAACACAGCACGGATGGAACTCAAGGGTTACAGATGCAAGTTACTATTCCCAGCCCCACCACTGTGATACTCCTTCCTCCCACCACCTGCTGGACCTTCCCTGGTATCTTTTACTTCTTTTGGTCTCTCCACACCAGCACTTGACACATATTCTCCCTCTCTGTAGGAGGCTGGTATTCTGTCCCCCGACAACACAGGGATGACACACAAAGGAGTAATCAGCCCTGTGCATTCATTACTTAATTATCAGGTCCTTTCTACATGACTGCTTCTGATTCATGTTTTCAGGCAAATGGAGCTCAAAATCAGTGATCACTGCATTAGTAAAAGTTTAATTTTTTTTTGCTATGAATTAGTAAGATGAAAGACTGCAGGAAATGTGGAACGAAGGTGGAAGGCAACAAAAGATACGTGCTTATTGTACAGCTAATGCCTCTCTCTACCCCCACAATATAAAGAGATAAGACGAGTCAACAAAATAACTATTTGTGATTACACTGGTTGCATTTTCTGAGGTTTCTTTTCCTACTGATGAGTATTTAAAATATATTCATGTAGGGCTGAATTCTACTTGTCTTTATTTCATGTAACAACATGTTCCTATTGCAGTGACTTTTAAAGACAAGCAATACCAGCTTGGTTAAAAATAGATCCAAGTCTTAAACACCTCCATAGTCAAAACATGAAGCAACCATAGTCCTGGTTCACCAGGTCTTGAAGGTCACCAACTGCCTCAGATTTGGGGAATGACAACCTTGCTTAGAGCAGGGGAAACCTGAGGGTCCTGACTCCGAGAGACATCACGGGTTTCTGTGAATGTGTTGTTTAATCTCACTGCTCATCTTTAGAGGGGCATAACAAAAGGTGAGGCCGATCTCACTGTGGCCAGGTGAGAGAAAAGCACTGCAGACTGCCAGGTGTCAGCAGTGCAGGAAACACGAAGCTGTGCAGTCCCTGGTGTGTGACTGGTGGTGCTGGGCTGTGTGCACCTGCACCACACTCCCTGCTCTAGGGCACAGCAGTGCCTGGAGAATCAGATGTTTACAGGGATGGCAGGGTTAAAGAGTTACCCTTCAGAGAGCAGCCCAGCCTGCAGGAACTGCAATTTTCTTCCCCTCATGTATACCGTGTAAAATCCCCTCCAAAAGCCCAAGTATGACAGGCAGGAAAAGTAAAAGCTAATTTAAAAATTCTCAGGGCTTTTGGGATCGCCAGGTCAGACACAGAGTGATCCTGGCTCATCTCAGGGTAGGAGCTGAGGTTAAATGCACTAAGTCCCCTCTACTTCCCAGTGATGGGATGGGATGTGCTGCCACTCATCCCCTTTGGTTAATTCCCCTCCACTCCACCCAGGCTCAGCCCAGCGTCCCACCCCAGCACGGCTGCAGAGACCCAGACCCACGCCTCCATCCTCCTACCTTAAGCTGTTGAGGCTCAAGCTGCTGCTGTTGTAGGCGGAGAGGGGCTGGGAGAGGCTCTGTGCGGCTGGATGGGGCTGCACGTGCGGGCAAGGGCCGCCTGGGCCGGCCCGTCGCGTACAATGGCATGGGCAACGTCTCGGCAGCGGCGACTGCCCCTGGCCGCGGCAGGGAGCTGCCCGGTTGGGGGTTCGCTGTGACCGCAGGGCGTGTTGTTGCCGAGGGTGCTGTGCCGAGGGTGGCTGTGCCGAGGGGTGCTTGGGGAGCAGGGGCCGGGAGGGCTCCTCGGGGACGGGGTGGTCAGGGCAGCGGCGCCGGCAGGGGCGGCGGGACGGGCAAGCTCCGGGCGCGGGTGCGCGCGCGGGCGCTGGGGCAGCGGGGCCTCGGGCGGCTCGGGGTGAGGCTGGGCCAGCGGCTGCGCCACCTGAGGGCAAGGGTCTTTAGGCACCACGGGCTCAAGGACGGGGTCTTTGCTGCTGTCCTGGCTCTTCTCTTGGCTCCTTTCTAATCCTGATATTTTGGGGACAGCCGGGCCCCGAGCACCAGGGTCGTCATTGTCAGCGGGCGGACCGACTCCTAACTCCTTATCTGCAACAACACAGAGACAGAAAGGGTTAAAACCAAGCTAGCAAACCCAGTCACACTCTGGGCAGTTCCGTTTTGTTTTCATCAAGAACCACCCATGCCAACGCGAAACCAAATCAAACCCCTCTCCTGTCTGGTAACCCTCCTCAGAACAAACCCCCGGCAGAGAAGAGAGACCCTGCTTAGTGCTGCTGTTCTCTGTCATTGTCACTCATCATCACTGACCCTCTGAGGGAACCAATGCCACCCGAGCTCTGGACCTCATCACAGAAACATCAGGGTTGGAAAAGACCTACAAGATCATCACCCACCAACCCAGCACCACCACCATGTTCACCACTAACCATGTCCTCAAGGGCCACATCCACATGTTTCTTGAACACTTGCAGGGATGACGACTCCACCGCTGCCCTGGGCAGCCTGTGCCAGTAGTGCCTGACCACCCTTTTAGTGAAGGAATTTTTCCCAATATCCAACCTGACCCTCCCCTGGCACAGCTTGGGGCCGTTCCCTCTCCTCCTGTCCCTTGTTCCCTGGGAGCAGAGCCCGGACCCCCGGCCTCCCCCCCTCCTGTCAGGGAGGTTGCAGAGCCAGAAGGTCCCCCCTGAGCCTCCTTTTCTCCAGGCTGAGCCTCCCCAGCTCCCTCAGATGCTCAGACCCTTCAACATGACACAAGATCTAAACATTAAAACCCTGGCTCTTTTTGGTTGGCTGGTCAGGAATGACTTACTTCTATTTTCCAACTCTTTAATAATATTGATTAATATTATTATAATTTTAACATTTGCTACAGTGGAGTTTTTCTCACTGGGGCTCTACAGCAATTTCCCATTGGAATCACTCCCCAAACCTTCTGCCAAAGCATATCTGGTCCACAGCACCCCTTGGAATAAATTGAGGGAATGCTGCTGACCCAAGACTGGAAGAGGTGATGTCTGAAGGAGGGGGTGTCAGGAGCACCATTTAGGGCTGTATCCCACAATAATTTGGAACAGCTGAACTTACACCTTCAGCAAATATGGAAGTGCAGCATATGGAAAGCACAGAAGGTTTGAAGGGAGTTGGGACAAACTTATAATTAAAAAAGGATCCAGTTTTCTAAATAACCTTAAGACAGGAAAACTTTACTCCTTCTTCTGCCAGTTTTAAGGGGTAAAATGACTAAATGCATAATAAAATAATACACATCCAGAGAAAATTGTTGACAGCTCCATTGTCCAAACCCCAAAGTAAAGGAGTGAAATAAAGAGGGAGGGGAGTGAACTCTCCCAGCCCATAGCCCAGGCACACGTTCTCCAACCATCACATCACTGGAGACAGCCTGGCAGCAATGTGTCACAAACACAGCATCATCTGGGTTTCATTTAGTTAAGACATCAAAACAAACCATGTCAGGCACTGTTACTGGTGCTTTACAGGCCCTGTGCAAAGGTAGCAGCAGAGGTTTTTCATAGTTTGTAGACAGGAGATGGGGAAAAGAGGGTAAAAAGAGTCAAAAGGGAGGTAAAGAGGATAAGAAGGAAGAAGGAAAGAGGAAAAAAGTAAGCAGACTTATTTGATGAGGACCTACTTTAATCACTTCTGGAATATGTAACCTGTAACAGGCACAGAGGCTCCTCCACAAATTTGGATCAGAAGACTATGGAGGCAAGAGTGGGACTCCAGAGGGATAAAAATAATTACTGTGCCGTATGCTCAGGGTCTATCTCACTGCAATTAAAGTGCAGGTTCTAAATAAAGGGACTTCCCTTGCATTAATTGTTTGGATCAATCCTGTTTGATCAAACAATTTTAGAAATTAGACAGAGAGTGATCTGCACATGTGTAAAGGCAGGTCCCCAAGGAGGAAAGAAGTGAGCACGTTTGTTCAGGAATAGGTGGATCTATGTTCTCAGTCCTTACAGGTGTAAGAGTTAAAAGGTTTTGTTTTGTTTTTTTAACACAATGGCATAATAATTAGGGCTTTGAGGGCTTAGCCTTGTCATTAGAAATCCCCCACTAGATGAATGAAGTAGGTAGTCTGGAAATCCTGCACAGGTGATACTTCCAAATCTACAGGGAACACCTTGCACTCAGTGCATTCATTGAATCCTTCCACTTGGTATTTTTATCCCCTCTCATGTGTGGAACATTTATTCAGCACAGCTCTGTGCTGAGGATCTGCTCCTCATGCTCCTCCTCCCCAGGAGAAAAGGGTTGGGAATGCCACTGTCTCCTGGGGATCATTTGCTGCTGCTCACATCTTCATTACACAGCACCCAAGTACCATTCCTGGGAGTCTGCACTTGGGAGATGCTCTTTGAAGTGAGATAATGTTGTTCCAAATGTCTCACACCAAATCTGCCCATGGTTTCTCCCTCTCCCTGTCTAACCCCCCTGCCCCCCCACAGTCCCCCAAGACAGGGTCAGCTGTCCAGGAGTCTCTCTAACCCCAGTAACCTAGGGCACATGTCCCTGCACGGGTGATAATTATGATGTATAAATCACAACTTTCTCATGCCACAGTATCTCTTTGGGGAGCTGAAATCTGCCCTCAGTGATGAATATTACCAGTTACAAGTACTTGGGCTCCCAGTTCTCCCAGCACTCACTGATGGAGCACATTTTGTCTAAATGAGTGGCATCCTCAAACTCCCCAGGGCTGCCCATGGCACTGCCCAGGCTCCCCAGGGCAGTGGGCACAGCCCCAAACCTGCCAGAGCTCCAGGAGTGTTTGGAATGCTCTCTGGAACAGGGAGGGATTGT